CGGAAGATTTTTGCGACCACGCGTCTCTCGCGTAAATACACACACACACAAACACACACACACATGTGCTGCCCGCGAGCCTGATGCCTCTTCGCGTGCGCGCGCTCGCGCGCCGCGAAAATCGGAGAGATAAATATGGTTAGTCATACCGATTTTTTAACTCAACCTCGGCGCGAGACGCCAATATCCTCTTTTTAGGTATGCTCGGCTTCACACGCGGACCCACGGCCCTCCGTAGAGTCACGTCGCGACGCCTAGCCGCTCGGCCGAGAGAGAAGCGCCAAGTTAATTGTCTTGCTAATTGATTTGTCCGGGAGAAGCGTTTATTTATCGAAATCTAAAACAGAGGGATAAACCGACGCCACGTAATGTTTGGGACGTCCTCTCGCATTTGGAAATTTGAAGCGGAAATCGAAGTGATATAAATGGCAAAAGTTAATTACTAAGTTGTTAAGAAATTAATTGTTGTATGGGATCGTTAGGTACATGAATCGTATTTATATTAGTAATTCAAAATATGAACAAGAGCTTTCCAAGAAGAAAATTGTTTATTTTTGTTGAATGTTGAATGGATTTATAGTTATTTATACTTTGCATGTATAATACACATCTGTGTTGAAAGTGACATATATATAAATTTTATTTTTATTTCGTATAGAATAAGGTCTGTTCTTTTTAGTTAAATTTCTTGCACAATTCATCTTTTTTTCTGTTCATGTTGGAAAGAAAAACAGAAAAGATGAACCGAAAAACAACAGACCTAGAAATTAAAAGTTTTATGTTATATATTTATGTTCAAAAGAATATAGTATAAATAAGTATATTTATCTTTGGTATCATTTAATATTTTATTTTGAACAAATAATATTTGGTGTTATACATCATTTAAAATAGTATATATAACTTATCTATATGTATTTATATATCTGTGCATATAGGCAGGCAGATCGAGAAAGTGTTCGACAGATGAGAGCGATCTAGCAGTGAAGCGGATCAAGAACTCCTGCAGAATGTTCTGTTGGGGCAGTACTATTCACGGGGAGCTGGGTTTGGGCGGTATCGAGGATGAGAATATTTTTATGCCAAGGGAAGTGGATTTTGCAGAAGCCAACAATGTCGAACAAAGTAAGGCCCTTGAAAGATCTTGATGCAAAGCCTACAAAATTTCAGGAGAATGTTTTGACGAAAATTAAATTTTAGTCGCGTGTGGAGAAAATTATACCGTAGCTATTACGAAAGAAGGTCAAGTATATTCCTGCGGTAATAACGACTATGGACAGCTCGGTCATGAGAAGGCAAGGAAAAGGTTACGTGAGTACAATAAGAACTTTCAATTAAATTAAATGTGCCATTTAGATATCTCCTAAAATTCTTTATCAACTTTGCTAAAATATATTGATTTATTTTATATAGAACTGATACCTGGCCTAGACGCATTTGTATTCAGAAAAATAGCGTGTGGTAATTGTCATACTTTGGCTGTAAATGAGTGGGGACAACTTTTCAGTTGGGGTTGTAATATGAACGGTCAACTAGGTATATACATTCTTTTTTATCTTTATATATAGAGACTGCTATTAAATATAATAATCATACATTTATCGTTCCACAGGATTAAATAGCGTCGATTGTACAGAGCGTGTTCCACGTATGATTAAAGTATTAGGTACAAATGTGATAGTGCAGATTGCTTGTGGTGTAGAGCATTCGATCGCTCTAACTAACGACGGAGAGCTGTATGCGTGGGGTAGTAATAGAGAGGGACAATTAGGATTAGGGTCATACACGGTGACTGAAATAAAACCGAAAAGGATTTCTACTTTAGCTGCCGTACCAATTGCATTTATCGCATGCGGCGGTTATCACACTATAGTCATATCAAAATCAGGTAAGGCATTGTGTATCGTTCGACTTCACGTGAATAGAGTCTATTCCTGAATCTATATCGCATACGAAAATCTGTAATATACACAGTGGCGGATTTAGACAGGGCCCACGAGGCCCGGGCCTAGGGACGCCATCCTTCTAGGGACCATAATTAAAAGGCCTTTTCTTTTTCCAAGTTCTGAACTGGTATACACTGATGCAGTAAGTTATGATGAATTCAATCATTCGCACTACACTGGATCATCAGTCATATTAAAAGCTGCTTTATATAAAATATGTCAATACAGTGATACAATATAATCAACTTTGACTATGAAATGATACATGTATATTTTGTTAAATAATGTGACAATATCATTAGTAGATAGTTAATCGTTAAAAATATTTATATACTTTTACATTTAACTTTGCTAATTTCATATAAAGCAGCTTTTAGTATTCACTGATCTAGTGTAGTGCAAGTGACCGAATTCGCTATTAGAGTGAGACAGGTATAGTTTGTTTCACTCTAACATATTGTACTAGTTCAGAACTAATACAGAATTCTTCGAAAAGGAACAAACGGAAAGTTAATTTTATATTTGTACAGGATTGCCATTGTGATGCATTTTTGCCAATATAGCACCTTAAAGCAGTGCTTTGGCGCACAAAAATAAAATCTTGATGTTTTGGTAAAAAAGTGATACCTTTCAATCTTTTTTTATTGTTCATTTATCTGAAAGAGGCACCAAGAAGTACAGAGCCTAGGGTGAAAAAAATGTGTAAATCCGCCACTGAATATACGTAATGTATACTACAGGATTCCGTATGCAATATTTTTCAGGAATAAGGCCCCTGCATTTGTTTTTTTCACAGGAGCTGTATTCTCGTGGGGGAGGAACACCTTTGGACAATTAGGATTAAATGATATACAGCAGAGGAATTTACCATGCCAGTTACGTACTCTGAGAAACGCGAAAGTATGCTATGCGGCATGCGGCGAGGAATTCTCATTATTTTTGACAATGGTAAATTTGATTTATTCATCAGACAATACTCTGGAAATTGAGAATCCTAAAATAACTGCGATTATTTCAGGATGGTGGAGTGTTTACATGTGGTGCTGGAATGTATGGTCAATTAGGTCATGGGAATACTACAAATGAGATTTTGCCGCGACAAGTTATGGAGCTAATGGGTAGCACGGTAACACAAGTAAGTTATAATTTACAAAAATAATATTGTGTTATAATTATGTACACGATTAAAATGTAATTTTACATTATGATGAAGATATATCACATTAATCTTATTTGTTTTACACAATTTATATTCATTAATCTATTTTAAAAAATTACATCTTAATAATATTAACATTTTATTGTAGATATCTTGTGGTAAAAGGCATACATTGGCCTTAGTGCCATCTAGAGGGAGAGTTTACGCTTGGGGTTTAGGAGGTGCTGGACAATTAGGCAATCGTGCTTCACAGAGTGCTACAACACCACAAGTCGTTCTAGGACCTTGGTCTTCGCCGAGCGGATCATCGGTGATGCTCGACCTACATTATAGCCCTCAAATCGACTGTGTTGTTAAGCATATCTACAGTGGAGGCGATCATTGCTTTGTTACGATCAGTCACAAAAAAGTGTGTGTTTTCCCATATAACTCATGCTCTTATGACTTTTTATTAATTTATTTTCCAGATGTATAAGTTTATACATATTAGCAGTTTTTCCTTCGAAAAAGAAAAGAAGAACGCAACGAAATATTAATTTTGCATCATTTTTGTAATAAGATATGAAAAATTATCTTTACTTAAATATATCTACAGGATAATATAGAACCAAGCGACTGTAGAATATTAGGGCCGACTTCCCAAATTCTTACAGTGATGGAAGAAAAGCTAACCGAATGTCAGAAGATCCCACCAGGTTCACCGGTGAATCATGAATTAATGACGTGAGTGAAAAATATACAAAGGTATATTAAATATATTAAATATTAAAGAAAAATTATACAATCTAACACAGAAATTAGGCGCTCGCACATCTGCTCGCGTTTTTCTCTTCGTTTTCTTGATTATTACTGAGACATAACATCTCAATAGATTTGATCTAATCGATTTTGCCGTAGCCTCAGTTATCACGTAAACTTCAAATGATTATGCGGTATTTTTCAGGTATCTAGAAACTGTATTCAAAAGTCAAGCATGTATAAATGCGTCCTTTTTGCTCAGTAATGATGCGCATTATGGATGTTCGAGCAAGCATCACGGAGTCAATATCGACTACGCGATCAGATTATTTGGAATTATCTCAGAACTGGACAACGGCACGATTCAAGAACTGGTATGTATACCGCTGGATATTTTCCTATGTACTAACATCGAATGCGAAAGTTTATTTTGTTGCATAATCGCGCAAATTCAATTGCTATATGCAGCAAACGCTAATCTAATTTGATGCAGTCAAGAAAAGAAATAAATTGTTTATAAATACAAACATGAATGTTCGAACGTTCATTCGGTGTTTGTTCGTTAAGTTTATACCCAACTTATGGATATACATGCAAAATATTGATCGATCTCTAAATGGCGACGTTTTTATTTCAGATTTTTACATGCGTAACTGACAGTCTGATACCATCATTTGTTGACTCTCCACCCGATGTGGAGTCCTTAAGAGTATACTTAACGCTGCCGCTATATCATCGCTTCGCAAATCTGTCCAACTATAGCTCTTTGCAAACGCCATTCTGCAAGGCGGTATTGAAATTGAAGGCTGAGGCTTGTAAGATCGTAGGCATGTGGTGGAGCTCAGCCCCTCCGTATTACTTCGAGAGACTCGTGAGAATGTACAAGTCTGTGGTGCTGCACTTTGTGAAACAATCGACGGCGGATAAAGTAAATTGTGCACAGAAATATTCACATAAACGACAAGCGAATCAAACGATTTGAAAGAAAAGATTCAAGATTTTCACAAATTTTTTTTAGCTTTTCTATGTTGCGTTATAAATTTAGCAATCAAAAAATTGTTCTGTAACTAGTTCTTGTTTCCGCTATAAAAGAATAAGTCAGTATTACAAAAATATTTTTATATATAATTATGAAAATTTTGTCTTAAAAAGAGATACAGATTTCTTTTATATGATAATTTTGGAGAACATATTCCACAGGCCATCATGTGGACTGAAAGTCTGCAATGTGCTTTACAACTGTTAGGACTATTATATAAACTAAATATCATAGCTGGTATACGAGTACTCCACGAGACCTTCCACTTGTCAGAATTATCGGAATATGTAGACATTGCTCGTGAATACTGCAAATGGCTGACAGAAGAAGATCGGTCTTTCGTAAGTGACTCTAAATTTTCAGTGCTCCACTTAATTCATGCATATATGGTGAATTAAGTAATACATCGTACTTATTGCTGTGCACATATAGTATTCAAATTCTTACAATTTTTCAGTACCGTAAAATATACTTCTGCAATTATCCTTTCCTGTTCGATGCCGAGGCAAAAACAAAGTTGCTTGAAACCGATCAATCTATACAGGTATAAAAAAGAATCTGTTTAAAAATAATCATATGCATTGTGTAATAAGCTATATTTATATTAGATGCAATCCGCGATGAATGAAGTGGCATCACGAGTTGTGAGAGATATAATGCTCGGAACACCTAGCCTGAACTTTCAACAGTATAGTCAATTTGTAATATTACACGTGTCACGGGATAAAATAGTCAACGACACTCTGGATCAACTGCTGAAGTATGATTCTAAAGAGTTGAAGAGACCACTTAGAGTAAGTATTAAAAGTTTCTAATGCTTTTTTTTTTAAAGATTTATAGCCTTTTTTAAGAATTAGATAAATGTTTTGAATTTATTAAAATTCAATATTACATTTTAAAAGAAATGTTTTAAATATTCTAAATGTTATAGTGTATAATCTTTTACAAGCACTGAATAATTAGCATATAGTTACAGCGCGTATTCAAATTTTTTCAGGTTAAATTCCGTAATGAAGAGGCTGAAGATGTGGGTGGCGTGAGAAAAGAGTTTTTTATGCTTCTCTTCGCAGAGATTCTCGATTTTAAATACGGTATGTTCAAAGAATACGAAGAAACAAGGACAATTTGGTTCAGTTCGGATTCATTAGAAGAAGAAATTATGTATTTTCTAATCGGCGTCCTCTGCGGCTTGGCCATTTATAATTTTGTAATTATCCATTTGCCATTTCCATTGGTCATGTATAAGAAACTTTTAGGAGAATCGGTCGGGCTAAGTGATATCAAGGAAATGTCACCGACAATAGCTAGGTATTTTGCTCATTCCTAAAACCGTATACGTTATTTATCATATTAAATTAATTATCAATGAATATACGCATTGCAGAAGTTTAGAAAGTATTCTCGAATACAACGAATCGGATTTTGAAGAAGTATTCGGTTTGGGCTTCGAAATAAGTAGAGAAGTGTTTGGCGAGCTGAAAAACTTCGAATTGATACCCGGCGGTGATAAAATTCCTGTAACATTAAAAAATAAGTACGTAAACATTGCATATACACCGGTAATAGTAATAGAAGAAAAGGAAAGCAAAACGCTTTTGTTTGCAGGCAACAATACGTTGATCTTTATGTGGATTATATATTAAACAAATCAATAGAAACGCAATTCAAAGCGTTTCATAAAGGCTTTCATAATGTATGCGGTGGAAGGGTGTTAGAGCTATTTCGTAGTCATGAATTGATGTCGCTTCTCATCGGCAATGAGAATTACGATTGGGAAGAATTGGAGAAGAATGCCACTTATAAGGACTGCTATTCTAAAAATCATCCTACTATCATGCTCTTCTGGCAGGTCTTTCATGAATTGCCGTTGGAGGAGAAGAAGAAATTTTTACTTTTCTTAACAGGCAGTGACAGAATACCTATACAGGGTATGAAAGCTATAAAAGTAAGAGAAAGTGATATATTGAAAACTGTAGAATATATGTATAGAAAGAGAGAGAGAGAGAGAAAATGGGTCTTCATAAAAAAAATTAATATGCTATTTGTTATTTTTGTTACAGATAACGATACAGCCAATGACTGACGAACGTTTTTTACCGGCTGCACATACATGTTTTAACCTTCTCGATTTGCCACGTTATCAAACTCGTGAAAGATTGAAATACAAATTATTGCAAGCTATCCAACATAATAAAGGATTCTCACTCGTGTGAGATCATGAAGCGCCTAAACAAGCTCAATGACTAATTACATAATAAAATGTATGAATCAACAATGAATTGGAAGAATATGTAAATTTAATAGTCTTTTTTATTATGATAATAACCTATAAATGAATTATGAGGCAAACGTATGGAAAAAAGAAACTTAAATTTTTGACTATTTGAAAATATAAAAATGTCATGTTTCTGATTTAAATTACAACATCAGTTTTTATTATATCAAATTTACTAATAATATTATTTGATATACACTCTGACAAATATATACTTTAACATATACTTGTCACTGTGTAATATGAAATGAAAATAAAATTGAATATTAACATCATTTGTAATAATCATCAATTATACGACTAATGAAAATTCCTTGAATTTTTAGGCAGTGTAAATTTTATATATAAAGTAATTATAGATTTTACATATAAAATAATTATGTTACATCTGTATCTTGTGTGCGATATTTGTTACAAAAGAAATTTTATGTATAACACGTGCTATATGTAGAAAATCGTCGATTAACCGTGAGGAGAGAGAAATGCATGATGTTAATTTATAAATGTACTTGAAATAGTCAAAAGAGGATGGTACTCGGAGAAAGTTACCTAGTTTAATAAGAACTTTTTTTTACGCGCGACAAAACAGATAAATTTCATAACTTTTTAAGAGACGTATTCACTATTTTTTGCAAAACATGTTATTAATTTGAGAGTATATTTTTGGGCTTGCCATATACATACATATGTAAGGATTTAAGATGTATTATTGAAACATATATACATATATATATACACATATGTATGTATATATATTTAATATACATATATCAAATTAGTTGGTATATATATATATATGTGTGTATGTATATATCAAGTTAGCAGAGTAACTTCACATGACAACATGACATTAATGATAAAATAACTGCCGAAAAAAGCATTTTTAAATAATAATCAAATATTTTATGTTTTATTGCCACGCACTTTTTTGACGGGAATGATTTAGATGACTCGAATTGCACTTTCGAGCCACATTCTTTTACGAAACTTGGTATAGAAAAGATTTTGTAAATTGTTACTTAGATATGTGTCTTGTATTATCTGGAAAGCAAATGGAAAAAATAAAGATTGTTATCTACCTCTTATATCTTACATTTCATTATAAAATTTAAATATGTGTATAAATATCATGTTACATTTTTAAGTATAGTTTATAATAATAATTACCGGTACATTGTCTAGCATAAATTGTAATATTTATTTATTCACATCGATATGTTACATTATTAAAAATTATTCGTTAGTTAGTTAACGGGCAGATCGTCGCCAAGTCGCATTATCTAACGCGTCGCATTTCAGTGATTCGATACATATCACTTTCTTTCCGAATACATTATTTTGTATTCCGATTGTATGACTCGATCGTTTATTTCGCGGATTTTTATTTGTATTCGATGTTCGTTATTTTCCCAAATCGTGGCCTTCGCAGTAAAAAGCACAATCTGCTGCCACATTGTTGTTCTCCCTTAAGCAATCGCTTGTGATCCGCCACTCTTGTGATTCGTATGGCAAGCGTTAGTCTTGTAAACCTGTAAAATCTGTTCGCAGCGTTAATTCTATCACAACATTGAGTCCACCTAGATCAGAAATTCCCAAACCAGGGATGTCTTCGTACAAATAAGAGTCTAGATTAGAGAAAACAAAGCAGTTTCTTGCGTGAAGAAATAAAATTAATTTTTTAAATAAATAAATAAGCTATTATATCTTTATCCTACCCCCCCTCCCCGTTTCATTATAAATGTAAACATACCTAAGAATTTAGATTAAAAAAAGGAGAACGCGACGCTCACAAGTGTGGGAACTCCGAACGACGATGCTCGAATAATAAATCGAATGCTGTAAATGAGCCAGATTTTCGGTAATTGTTATTAGTTTACGCTACCCTGCAAAGATGAAAGGTAACCGTTCAGTCTCTGTATATACAGGTTCGTTGAAGCTCGAAATCCAGATCGGAAGTCTCTAAAAACCCGGGAAACGCATGATGTGGAATTTCTCTTCAATTAACTGAATCATATTCTGAAAGAGTTGCAGCACAATTCGTGCGCAGATACGCGTGAATGAAGAAAAGAAGAAATCATGTTGCAAAAAAAAAGACGAAATTCTGCATCGAATTTTTTTTTACAGTCGTGATTTTCCTATTCACAAAGAAATCGGCTCTCATGCGTTTCTCTGGTTCTTGCGAATCTCGCAAGATCCGCAAGCAGCGTCCTGAACATCCCAATCGATGAGAAACTCAGGACGATGCCTCGTGCTCGAATGCGTTGCTCGGAAATGGAATATTCGCTAATGTTGATAAGCCGGGGTGAAGTACTGGGTGCCAGGAGGTGCTCGGTAGCCCGGATAGGTGCTGTTCAGGGCGTGTTGCGCGAAGAAACCGCTATAGTCCTTGTGCACTCGACGAGGCCTAACAGCAGGGCCCTTTGCGAGCTCCATCCTGGCACGGTTCTCCGCCTCGAACTGGGCCTTCACGGACGCTGGTGGCCACTTCAGATCTCCTCGCATATTGCCTGTCGCCGGAGCTTTTGTTGCTGCGGGTTGGGCCTGATACACCGGTGCTGGTGCCTGTGGATCAAGAGCGGCGATAATCCCAGATAGAACATAGAGTCATGATTAATAATATCACAAAATGTCATCATGACATCGTTTGATAGTTAAAAATGAACTTATGAGTGACAAATGCGATGAGATGTCCTGACGATATCATTATATGACTTCTGTTATTTCTATTTGAAATAAGAGAGATTGGAAAGACGGAAAATGGCGCAACAAAAAATATCGAGTAACCGAAGTTTTATAATATCATTACGCTCAAGGAGAAAAAATCAAACAACGTCAATATGACGTCAAATTAACATTATTTTGATTTTCTTGTTTTCCTTGGGCGTTTTGTTTACAACCGAGCTAATTTTATATATATATATATAGGTATAAAGTACAAAACTTTTATATAAAGCAAGTATAATTACGAGTTGACGCCAGAAGCCGATAAAAAAACTGTAATTTTTCAACTTTTTTTCGTTTTTCTTACGAAGTCAACTGGTTTGGACTACATTATCACTTATATTTTAGTTGTGGAGAAGGATTTTTAATTCTGTAAAGGCAGTTAGAAAAATACTTATTTGAAAAATAATCGGTAAAATAGCACGACTTTAGGATCCCTTTAAAGACATCCGAGCCAGAAATGTACATGTTGCGCAAAAAAATCGAGACAAAGTGAAATAAAGCAATATTGAGCGATATTGACATAAACATATCAGAGAATAAACAAAATATAGACAGAGCTGTATTTTGCAAATCCAGAATAAATGTACGGAATTTTGCGAGCGACTATGTGTGCCTTCCAACAAGTAACACAAATGACACGGTGTGACACAATGGATCATTACATGCTTGTTGTTTGCCAATGTTAAACAAAGATGACATGATCACTGTGTCGCACTGTGTTGCTTGTTGGAAGGCACCCTATATATGTAGTCGCTCGTCGCCGCGTCGCATCGTAGCGAAAGGGTTGAGGAGTCGAGTATTCAGGACCGTAAATTATGTACACATTAATGCCACCCCCAAGTTGCACGTTTATGGAAGGGATGAGAAGGAACGAGGAAGCATGGAAAAGACATATTAAGGCATTAACGATCACGTGTCTACAATGAATAAAATAAGACACATATATATCAAAGCATCTTATAACAAAAAAGTATTGCATAAAATAAAAAACGAGATTTTTTACCAATCCAATAATAAGCATACAAATATTATATAAATATTTAATTATTTTATATAAATTATATCACATTATATTTTAATTATATTATAATTAATATAAAATGATGTAAAATGATTATATATTACTTCGAATATATATATATATAACAATAGATGTAACAATGTAATATAGCAATAAATGTAAAAATCGAATATTAAACTTCAGGATTCAACATCTGTCCCTGTTGTGTATTGTATTGTAATACACAACAGGGAAAGATATCTGATATCAATATTTTAGTACGAGATATACTCATTTTTACATCGCGATGTGAAAGTGCAAATAATCTAAATGCAAATAACCGTTGTTATATCTATTATTAAAGAAAACTGTTAGCAGAAACCGTTGAGATGTAAACAGCAATAGATACATTGACGTTAATTACATGTAATAATGTTAATGAGAACAAAGGGTCGATTTAACAGTTGTCCGATTTTTATGTATTTACGCGTATATAATAATCGCGTTAATTATACGTCCATGGCTACACTGCGCTTGTCGGTTCAACGAATCAGCAGATGATATCGATTTGATTTGTCAAAGAGACACCTAAATAAGTGACAACTAAGCGAATAAACAGCTGTTTGAATTCGTAAATGAATAATGTGATAAATAAATAATTCTGTTACAATAATAAATGTAGAAATTTAATTACGGTAATTGCCTTAATATTTAATTATTTATCAATGTAAATAGATCAAGTTCTCTTTATTTCTTGACAATTAATGAAATTCTTTACTCTCTTTGACAAGCAATTTAATAACAACATTCTTCCCGTGACAATAATTTTTTAGCATAAAATTTATAATCTCATGTGAGTTTTTACGTACATATAGGATACGTCACGATCATAGTTCAAGTAATATCGAATTTTTATTTACTGAATAAATATACGCATAATAATATACACGTATTTATAGCTAAATTTTCCGTCATGACGGACGTACCTGTCTCGTGTTTAGTACTTGTACGAGCTCGCAGATAAAAAACGAATGACTCGTGCGGAAACCGCGAAGGGATGAGAAGGGTATATATTATATAATAACTGCCCTTTATGTAGTTGTCTGCAGGATTACTCTCCACCCGTCTGTGGTTTCCGCGCAGTGTATTGTTTTTAATGATTTGCGGTTCATACACGAGATAGGTATGTTATATGACAAAGTTACCTAGAGGCAATTGTCTGGAGGACTACCCTCCGTCCCTCTCCATTGTTGCCTCCCTCGCTGGAGCTGATAATGAACAAAGCGTGAGGGTTGGTCGACAGACATGCTCGAGGTTACACCAATTTACAAATTTGTGGTAATCACGACACGAAATTGCTTCCCCTAAACACCCTAAACAGCCTAAACTATCGCAAAAGTATCTATCTTTGAGTTAACAAGCGCATAGTTTATGCACGTATCGTTACCTCTAACACACCCTTTACTCACCCTAACCCGTATACTTATCTTGTAAGTTTCAAAGGAGTCTGAGAACCTTATCGAATATCAATGAAGTCTGAAATTACACTGCTTTGAAATGTAATTAAATATTTGATAAGGTATATTTTCATAGATACAATTGACAATGTGATACACTTGATGTATATTCAACAAGTAAAAGCTGTGCTCTTGTATATCCGAATATATGTATTATCTCAGACGTGAGTAGAAATTCGCGTCAGATAAAAATTCCACCGTCTTATTAAACGACTAAAAAAATCAAAGCAGTTTTTTTTTAAATAAATATATTTGTCATTGTAAAATAGAATTCACTCTCTTATCTCATTATATTAACAGATTCAAATATAGCTTTCATTCGCTATAAATTATGTTTTTTTAAAATTCGAAGTATGTTGCATTACAATTACAATTTTTTATAATTATGTCTCATATAAGATGCAATACAGGATTGAAAAGAAAATTTAAAAATCAAGCGACTATATATTATATGTTCATATCAAATTCGCAACGCTAGCACTAGCTTTTTCCGAAGTTTTGACATTAGCAAACTTTCGATTAAAATTACTCAGAAACTAATATCGCAATCAAAAATCTAACAATACTTTTATGATATAATGCCAGCGCGATCTTTCGATTGCGACCAGTCCGAATAAAATTGGGGCAATCGATATCGAGATCTGAAGATCAAGTCCCGAAAAGTGATCATTTCAGATTTTTAGATTTTTTCAGTCTCACTTATAAACGCACACATGTAAAACGTTTTGTTCATCAAACTGCTTTCACAATGCCTTCATTCAGAGTGAGAGAGAGAGAGAGAGAGAGAGAGAAATTGATTAATTCATTAAGCATTTATTTTAATTCTAGGGCAAGTCCTCTAAGAACTTTAAATACAAGATGAAACAGTGCGCAACACAGCAAAGTACAGGAAAAAAAATTAAAAAATAAAAATAAACGTAAACAATAAAGATAAAAAATTAAAATTAAAAAATTGAAAAAATTAAAGAATAAAAAAATGAGAGAGAGAGAGAGAGAGAGAGAGAGAGAGAGAGAATGATGCCGCAAGACGTCGAACGACATCGGAAACTATTCTGACGATGAGTAATTTTAATCGAAAGTTTGTCGATGTTAAAACTCCAGAAAAGCTAGTGATCACGAATTTGGCAGCAGCACGACATATATAAATATGTCGTTCGCATCAAGTCAAGTAGTCAAGCGGCCTAGCTGTTTCATATTTTTATGCACTTGGCGTCACGATGCTACCGCGTCGCTTGATTCCGTTTTCTTTTTGCAATTAATTTAACAAATAAGAAATAAGATCTGACCGTGTAAATGTACAACATAGTAGAGAGCATCAATTAATTTAAGTTTATTCTTTTAGCATAAGAAACAAAGAAAATCAAGGCTAATGAGAGTACAATGCGATTAAAGAGGCGCAAGTTGTGGTGTAAAAACTTTTTTACTTTACAAGAAAGATGATGCCATCATATTGTAAAGTATCTAATTCTTTCAGACTTTTATCGGATTATATTTGCTAACCGAGAAAATGATTGTATCTTTTTTTTGCGTATTTTCAAAACTCAATTTTGCGAGTACCAGAAATATCTGAAAGAACCGCATTGTTGTTACTAAGGAGAACAAGAAAATAAAAATAATATCAATTTGACGTTATATTGACTGATCATTGATCGAATTTGTCAATTTATGTCATATTTCAGTCAATATAATATTATTTTGACTGTTTTCTTTGGATAGTGATGCAGGAGCTGTATTATTCTTTCGAAGTCATGGATCAGATTAGAAATATCTAGATATTCACAGAAACATCTAGATATTCAGGATATTTTTAGAAGTAAGTTACGGACAAGAGAGATGTAATCGATGCTGCCGGAATGACGACGACGTATATTTAACGGCTGATATGCTGCCAAAGGCAGCTCTCGTTAGAGATCTCGCACGGATACTCTCGCAAAAATATTGTATCGCACCGTGCAACCCACGTCTGATATTAAACGCGACGTTTCGGAAACTCGCGTAATATTTTATCGCTTTATTCTTGGCCGGATCATAGTTGCGCGGGAGTTGTAACATAATATCGGACATAAAACATTACTTTCAAAAAGTGATTAAGGCCTGTTTTCACAAAAGTTATTTGTTCTTAAAATAATTAAGCATTAAAGTCAAAATCATCTCATATACTTTATATTAATTCATTATATTAAATTTTATTTAATAAAATATTACACAATGACTCTAAACTTTAAACTACAAACATAATATACCAATGATTTATTTAAAATGTTTATTTTAAGATTTATATTTACAGATACTTAATAATAACTGCTTCTTCAATAAATGATCGAAAACTGGGACATTTATCTTAAATGACAAATAAGATGATGATGTCCTTATGATATTATTATGACTTCTGTACGAGTGTGTCAACAAAAAATCCAAATGACTTTGATTCTTAACGTCAATAAATAATTTTAAAATCATCATTTGGACTTTTATCGTCAAAATAAAACCATTTTAACTTTCTCTAATTGACTTGATGCGTTCCTTGGGCTTAAAGAACTAGAATTATAATTATTTAGCGACGAGATTTGAGTTCTTTAATCTTGTATGTACCAAACTCTCACCTGCGAGATAGGCGGCTCAGGACGAAGGATGATAGTGGAGGGTGGTGCCTCGAACGCCGCAGGGGTGGATGTATAATAATCGGATAGATTCTGTTGCTGCCTCTGCGGTGCCCGGTCGTATGGATCCTGGGGGTGCTGCTGGAAGAATGCAAAGGGCACAGCGATAAAGATTCGCCCACTGTCGCGAGTGTGTCACACCCACGCGAAGACATTTACGACCGTACCAGTTGCCATCCTGCAAATCTTCCACTATCCTCGCTTGACTAAAACCGTCTCACGCCGCAATGATTCTGAGTGCATGGGTTCTGAGTGCGAGAGACAGAGAGGAAGAGCAACATGCGTTAACTAATAATATATCTCTCGCATAAACATCAACGGCGACGATGCTTCTTACATCCAAGATCGCAAACAATTGCCACGTGCCATCGTTTCTTACCGCGAAATTATCGGCTCTTCATCCAAAATTGCGGAGGACTGACCATCACGTTTATGCAAGCATCACCTACCTGCCAAGGCTGGGTCTGCTGTTGTTGTTGCTGCTGTTGGCTCGGAAACAGGGGATGCTGCTGAGAGAGCGGCGAGGTTGCCGGGGGTGTCACGGGCGCCCAGCTCCTGAGGTTCGTCTGTTGCGGTTGGAAGTACGAGGGCTGTCGCAGGAGCGTGCCGCCAGGACTGATCGGCGACGGGGACGACGGGACGGCGCTCTGTGTCGACGACCGTGCGACCGTCGAGGACGGTTGGGGTGACGGACCCGACGAGGGACTGCTCTGGTACGAGCCGAACTCACCGTACCCACGGGTCTTACCGGAGGAAAACAGATAATTTTGTAGGCTCGAGCGAACGCACGGACTGGTGTCTGTCGTCCCAAAAAGGAGAGAGATGATGCGCGAAGATTTGCGAGAAATAACGCGATGTCTATAATCCTCGTATGTTTATATTATTTATTTAATGCCCGTTTCTATCAATGTATTCAATTAACTTTTCATCCCTTTCTAGTCCTAAGAATTTAAAAAAGATGAGCAAATTGAATCGAGATTATAATTAATCTACATTGGTAGAAACGGGCATAAATCATCTCTTTTAAATACTGGACGTTCCTCAAGTCATTAATGTTGTTAACACTATTTGCACAATAAAAAATTAGAAACTGATAATTTGAATAAATAGAACGATAAGGAGATTTATGGAATTGATGTATAAAAAAATGACCATCGGATAAGTGATAAAATATCAAAGCAGAGAGATTAGTTGTTACTGTGTGTGTGTGTGAATCTCGAATTATCATTAAGAATCTAGACTTGTATATGTAAAATAAAATATTTATACAAAAAAATTTTTACATTACGTTACATTACATTACATTTTTACATTATATTCAAACTAGATAGATGCAGAAAATAATTTTGTTCGATTATCAAAATAATTATGTAGAATATTCAAACTGATTACTAATGAAGGTATAAGATTAACTCTTTAATTATATTTAATCGAATTAATTCATATATTATTCTCGATTGTATTTAGATTAAAAATTTTTCAAAATCTGGCCGCGATTCGCTCGAGCCAAGCATCGTCGGTTTTATCAAAAGGGACGAGCACCAATTTGACAACAATCTATCGTTTTTTCTTTTTTCGCTTCCTGCAAATAATTAATCGGTAAACCTGCCTCGACGACCGCAATGGGCGGATTCGCGTGTTCAAGAAATACAATGATATTCGAATGCCGCTTTGTATAGTAAACTTTCTAACGATATCGATATTCACTGCGTGCGAGTCAGAGATGGAACATGTCGTATCGATTTTTCGTTTAATGAAACAATAATGTATAAAATATTGATTATTATAATCGCTACAGTTGTTACAAAGTTTTATTTTATTCTTCGTTAAAGACGACAATATTTCAGTCGATTTTTTTATTTGAAGCATAATTATTCCGAGATTTAATGACAATTTAAAAAAATTGCTTGAAATCGACTTCAATTTTATCGAAGAATATGCCATGCAGCCAAAATTGCTGACTTAATTTAGAGACTTGCGATATATATCGCGTATTTGTTCTCCATCTCTGCTCCGAGCGAAATAGGACTGATACGCATACACAGAGAAGAACGAGCGTGAACAATACATAAAAGAAACACGTAACGAACATCGTTGCACTCACACGCATGGCAAGATGCAGGAGAAGCTATCGCACTAAATGGAGATAAAAAATATTACGAAAAAAGAATGCATTCAACACGTAGACATTCAAAAGTATATCCGTGTCCTTTCGGGGATTCTTGAAAATGTCACGATCTAATTGCTTCATTATATGCTCGTTATATCTATATCCTCATTTCGTCTGTATGAAATGATAAGTGTACTCTTTTTAAATTCTTTGGAGTGAGACTTCATTCTTTTTAAAAGACTTTTTAAAAGAAATTTACTTTAAAGAATTTATAGAGAGTTGCTACGCTAACAAGAGAAAGGGCAGCAGGTCTTCAAAATTTGATTTCAACATTTTTGCAATAAATATTACACCATGATGCAATTAATTTTTTTCTTATCATCAATATTTTATCATCATTTCGCTTTCGATGAATTTGTATTACTGTTCGAAAAATAAGAGTTGCAAACTTTTTTTGTTGTCATTGCCTTTTGTCTTATTGAAGCAGCATAAAATGATGGGACAACGAAATCTGATTCTTTAGCGCGAAAATATGTACACACGTATCTAATTATCTGTTATATTACCTTCGCTTGGACGGGAGCTTGCTCGATGTAGTCGAAGTCTTGATCCTCTGGGGGCGGTGGCCAAGCTACTCGTTTGAGACCTAAGATAATAATAGAGTTTCGTAGAGACAAAGATCAGTTTGGCGAGGTATGAAATTTCTTAGTTTATGATAGCAATCATATACTGCGATATATCTGTGTTAATCAATTGGATTTGGACAAATTCGCTTGAATTATATCATACAGATATGAGTTCTTTAAAGACGAGACTTTAACATTAAAAGTACTGAGCGATCATCATTGACATGTTTCAATGTTTTAGATAATTAAAATTATTTTTTGTGTGTATAAAAAATAGGATTCTAAAACTTTTTGATTTTTCAATAATTATGTCCTTTATATTGAAGAAATATTATTTTCATCACTTTCTTTATTTTCACAGTAATCTATTCGCTTAGTATTTTAAGAGTAAGAAACCTTAGAGTACTTTTAGCGTTACACAGTTTACGAGAGGATAAAAATGGTATTTTTGAATACCGACGTCTTCTGTAGATTAATGTAAATTTGAGAAAACTGATACTGTATTATTAAAATTATAATCGATTTCGATAGACGATAAAGAAAGAGTCACTCATTTATCGTGTCACTAACGTCATCAATGTCTCGCATATTGATTTAATCGCGATTTTTCATCGAACCGCCGTCATCAATTTTCGTCAATGACGCACTTGATTCAACTTTATTCACACGATGGCTCGCAGCAATGTCGTTTTTTCCGCAAAATTTCTTTCATCATTCCATCAAAATAGTATCTAACGACGTGCACAATTTTAATTTAACTGTGTCACGCGGCTCTCGTATTATATCGATCGCATGCACCGCGTGTCGCAACAGGCGGCCGAATATTACGACATCCATATGGGGTCGCGCGTCGTTAATCGTGCAAAGTGCAAACGCATATTTCCTGGCAACTAATAAACCCGCCTGGACCCTATTCGTCCACATACCGATGCGATACCCAGCGAGCTCGCTGGTTCGGCCGCCACAGCGATCAGGAACGCGACTCTGCCAAAACAGGCATCCGCCAGCTACTAACGCTATGCGGAGTCACCTGTACTTTTCATTATCGCGGAAACTAGCTGGCTACCGATTTTAGAGCCTTTCTGGTGACCAGCCAAAGAGTGGGGCTTGACATTGTGCCCGATCAGGGTGGGGCAGCGTCCTTCTCTGTTAAATCTATAGTGTGAAATTTAACTTAATTTAAGTCGCCGCTGCTCCTACTAAATATGTCCTTATTTTAGACTAAAAAACGATTATTAAATTTGACACTGTACAAAGTGTTTCCTGTAACTTGATCATTTAAAATATCGCCGTTGTTTTTGAGATATATATATATACATATAGGTATATATATAGATATCTATATCATTTATATGAATTATAATATAAGCGGATTCTCGTTTTAATAGTAAGTTTATTCTTGGCGAATTTAGCATCGAAAACGCGCGCTTGACATTCGGATACAATGATTCTCCGCTCTAATTGAAGACAACTTTTAGGAGGTGAATCAATGCGGCGTGTTTCACAAAGAGGGCCTTTCTCGAACACAACGCACGCGGTGTTCGGACGGAGGTGCTCGTGTGTTTTGCGAAAACACGTTGCTAATCTGGTGAACTCGCGTCTTTGAGCCGTGGCCAAAGAGTAATGGTTGTGTCATGCTAAATTGAAAACGTGTTGCCAACGATAGTGGCATTAACTCAAGGAGCTGATGTCGCCCCAGGCCAGGTGATCGATGACTGATAATATTTGTATCTGTGACTCATTATCGTTCTGAAAGTTCTTTTAAAGAGAACCTAAAGTGGTTTATTTTACCAATTATTTTTTAAATAATTTTTCTAACTACTTTTATATACACAGATTTAAAAGTTCTTTTCTACTCCTACACAATTAAAGTATAAATGATAATGTAGTCCAAATTGGTCGACTTTATGCCAAAAACAAAAGAAATTGTTAGAAAATGACAGTTTTGTTATTGGCTCACAATCAGTAGAAAAAGGAATTTTGTAACTGTTGTAAAATTCTTTAATATGATTAGTCTTGCCTTTAGTTCCTCTCTTGGATCTAATAAATAAATCAATCATATTATAAAGAATTTTACAACAGTAAACTGCTTTTTCCGTTGAACGTAGCCATTGGCTTCTTGCGTCTATTCGTAACAATATTCGCTTTATACTTCTCTTGTACGTATAAAACAATCTTGGTTTAGACTAGAGATTACATGAATAAACAATGTTGAATTCTTAGATTTAGGCTTAGATACCTAATATACGTATGAAAGATTAGTTAACGCGAATTCGATTGGACGCATTCAGTGCGCACTGTGGTGGACATTAAAGTCGTCGTACACAAAATAACATAAAGAAATGTTTATAAATAAACATAGAAATCGATTAAATCGTGAAATACTCAATACATTTTATTGTACTATTACAGATAAAATATGTATTTCATAATTCGAAATATTTGCATTTCATTTTTCATACTCAAATTAAATCAGTGTACAACGGCTTAATACGCACCAATGCTTTCAATCGAATTCGTCATTAATTAGAAAATTTATACGTATATACCGGGTGTCCCGTAAAGACCCGAACAACGCTTAAAGGGAGATTCCTAAGATCATTTTGAGACGAAAATTCTAATATCAAAATGTCGAACTATAATAATTTTTTTAATTATAAGCTAACTTTAAATGCTTATAAGTAAAAAACCATTTTACTTTTATAAAAAGTAGCCTCTAATATTATTTTTGGATTATTTCTTTTGAACATTCTGAGATGAAAATCCTAATACGAAAATATCGAGGCTATAATATATAGTTTTCGAATTACACATTATCTTTAACCAGTTATAATTCAAAAGTTATTATAGCCTCAACATTTTGGTATTAGAATTTTTGTCAAAATGATCTCAGGAATCTCCCCTTAAGCGTTGTTCGGGTCTTTACGGGACACCCGGTATATGTGTGTGTACAATATAGATGTAACAATAACATATCAATGACACATAAATCGTATGTGTATAACTCTTACTGGATCCACAAAACTGATGACTTTAGGATCCCCTGGAGGCTCAGATACACTTTAGTGAATGAATTGAACGCAAATTTGTCCGAGTAAACAGGTCAATCTAAATTCATATTAAAGTAGACATACGATACTTGCTTTCCTGCTGGATTGCTAGCTGAGCTAGATTAGATTTTTGCCACCGTATTGACTGCGATGTTGGTATTGTCAATACGATGGCAAGATTCTGATCCAGCTAGCAATTTCCAGCAGGAAAACAAGCATCAGTGCCGCAGGCTTTAAGTATCAGTCTGTCGTTATCAAATTATGGACGTTATGATCTTCCTAATCCTAATCTTAAATTACATTTTCTAGAAATATGTAAATTTTGCAGAGGCATTTCTTCACTTACCAGGTTGACCACCGCGCTGCCTCGCTTCTTCTTCTTCGAGCATACGTAGAACCGCGCTGTTCTGCAAGTTCGCTGGTTTGGCCAACTGACTGAAGTCGATCCTGGAAAAAGAGATTTCCACGTTTAAGTTCGACTCGCTAATAATATTTCGAATGCTACAGAAACATCCATATGAATAAAATGAAATAGTTGCTTCCGCTTTTGCTTCTCGGAAAATAACGTTGCGACAATTATGGATGAAACGTCGTAACTATGTTTACTTTAACGCTTAAATAATATGAAGCGCGCATTATAATTTTTTTGCAGATTTATATGACTGAAAAAATATGTTAATTCCTGACAACAGTGACATTCATAAACAAATATTTTAAAATATAAAGTCGATTTTTTATAATAAAAGAAAATATAGAAAATATTTGCTTCATACACTGAACAAAATGTTCTGATTAAACCAACAAAAGGACTCAAAAAGAACGACATTTTAACGAGAACAAACAGAATTTCTGATTATTATAATCAGAAATTTTGCTCGGTGTTAAAATGTTATTTGGAGTTCTTTCCTTGATTTAATTAGAACGTTTTTTTGGTTAGCGTTTACAAAAATCACGAATTTGCAGAAAGGAAGAAAGAGGCAAGATCTCATGAAAGAGAAGGTTCAGAAGAATCTCCAAGATTTTAAGGATCGAAAATCGAAGGTCACCTTTTCGTGGCGATCATCTCGACAGGATGTAATCTCAAAGCGGCAAGGATAATAGAAAGAACGATTACAATGGTGAAGAAGAACGGAACAGCAGGCGAACCGGTGCGCGTCCACGGTCCATCAAACGCGAAACTAAGTCAAGTACGAAGATGAGACGCGGCGGTGCAAGCCGTCGTTTTCGCGCAGGCCGGTGATTCGGTTTGCCGAAAATAACTGACGTTGCGAACGGAATCGACGCCGACGGCTGATTCATGCGACCGGCGTCGTCGCGCGACCGACTGACATCGGCCGATACACGAACGATTGCATGACACCACGTGGACCACGAGCTGATGATTGACGCAAGGTGGTCGCCGGGATTTAGTTCAGATTCGCCACGCGGTTTCGCTCGTGAGTCATCCGAGTCGATTGACTTTTCACCTGTGGGATCTGAATTTGATCCGGACTAGGTCAAGGGATGTGTATTTAGGTTGAAGTAAAGAGTCTAGCAGAATCTGAACGCGATTTTATCAAAGTCCTACGAATAAAAAAGGTACATATACAGTTTCTTGTATACATGATGTGGCAATAAAATTCGGAGAATGTTATGAGAAAGTAAATACCATACTTAATTGATACACAAACCTTTATTGTCCTTCAAAGTAATCTCCCCTAGAGACAATATATTTCCGATAATTTTCGTATAGCTGCGGAAACTCTGTGAAAATGTCCGGAAACTGTATGAACGTTGTTGGAAATATATTGCCTCTATAAGGGAGGATTATTTGGGATAATAAAGGTCATTTATGTTAATTAAGTGGTGTTTATTTTCTCATAACATTTATTGCCAAACTTTATATTGCCATACCACTCATTTTAACTTATAATCTCACTCTTTAATATTAATTAAGACTACAGAGTGAGATAGTACAATATATATTATACCTTCCTTTCTCGTGAAATTTTGACAAAATTGCTCGTGGCCCTTGTTATAGAACCTTTATAGACTGAAATAAATAAAATAGTACGCAATGATTTTTCTCATGAAACTGGTAACGATTATTCTAAAATATTTAAAAAGATAAATATTCATTCGACAGGTATTAAAAATCAACGATTATAATATATTTATTGTTGGAAAGTGATTACTATTACAGAGTAGAACTCCTTTTATCTGCACTTCATTTATACGAACAAGTTTGCTCAGTTCTAAATATACGAATTCATAGCTGAGCTTTTATGACGCTATAGATGCTATAGTTTGAATAATAGGAGCTTGACGTACTCGACTTTAGTTTTCTGAACGTCAGCTGTTATTATCGGAACTAATAAATTCTGGTACTACGATAGAGAAAAGAACAAGTGAGTTTTTATTATTCGAACCATTCGATTATCAGAACTGTCTTGTTCCTTGACATTAAGATAAATAGAGTTCTATTGTATTGTAAAAATTCATTTGTAAATGTGAATCTTTATTTTATTTATTCTAACTCTTTTATTTGGTACAACTTACCCGACTGCACCGTTAGCCAGAATTTGAGTCTGTCTATCTAAAGTTTCCTGTATCGCCTGTGGCGAATACAAATTGATAGGAGAGTTGAACTGTTTGTTTACTAATCTCGCTTTTTGCGTGGCCATGTTAATGCCTCAGTCTACTCTCGACTTTATACTGTAACATAAAAAATATGATTGTATAGAAAAGAAATAATACACAAGATACTTAACATTTTAAACGCCTAAGTTTTAATATCTAATATTTAATAAAAAATTTGTTATTAATTGTAAGGTACTAGTATTTATGTAATACATAAAAATTATATACGGAAAATAGAAAAAGAGCATCTATATTTGACGTTAGATTTCTTTTCGGCGGAAGTTGTCAACAACATTAAACCGTCGCAAATAGAATTATTTAATAAATCGTCGCAGAGAATCAATTTGTCATGATGAGACAGCGACGAATTCACGTGACGAACGATGCATTCCTCTGTTTCGACACGTATGCTTCGATTCGATCGTACTTAAATCGTCGAGATGGTATAAACCACTAGCTGAAATATTGTCCCACAGATTACACGATTTCATATGATTTCATCTGATTACAAATAATTTTTTTCACTACATATATAAAGTCATTTGGTAAAATATACAATTTTATTTAATATTATACAATGATTTCTCGTGGTTGCATATATATAATTATCGGATTATACATAGAGATTTCATATGAATTTTATAATGATTTCGAGAACTCTGTCTCACGATTACATTAATGGATCAATTCTAAGCAGAATCGTAAGACTCGTAATGTGTTCTCGTAAAACATGTATATAAGAATTTATGACTAGTATTCTAATTTTATGCTTATGTATCGTAAGACGTATGATTATATATATATATTCGTAAATATCTACGATTTCTTGTAAATTTTATGGCTAGTAAGAAGCTGTCTGAAAAAATATTGTATAAAGGTACAAGCACTTAAAAATTCTTACAAGTCTTACAGGAACATGTATCGCCTTACGATTTTGTTTAGAATTTAGGCATAAGTGGTTATCCTCTCGTAAATCGTGCGAAGCTGAAGAGCAAAAGCAATTTTGGTAAGTGGGTCACGAGCTATCGTTTCTCATGATCGTTCAATGATCATTCAGCGATTGTTTGGCTCAATTCCGTGAGATGCGATCGATGCCATTAACGGATTCTATGGTTTGCTAGAAAGTGTGGCATTAAATTCCCGGTCTCGTGCCAAGAAATCCATGCAGGGACGCACGCGTTGAAAGATATCGCGCGTTTAGGCAAAGAAGAAAAAAATAAATCGTTTCTTGTCCACGATTTACACTCAGAGAAAAAAATATAATAGTAACAATTATACAAGTTTCATATGTAAAATTAATGTATGTTAAATTATGTAGTTACTACAATTATAAAGAGTGTAGACTATATATATATTAGTTTAAAGTATAACGTTGTATACAAATAAGCAAATATTGTTATGAATCGATGCTAGAAATCAATAACATTAAACTGTAATTTTCCAACCTCTCTTTTTCATTTTTGGCATAAAGTCAAACCTTTTTCACTGTAAAAAGAAATGTGTTTCTTGTCTCCATTTTTTAAACACTTAAAGATATTTTAATTTTAAACTTTTTCAATAGACAAAACGTGTTTGGATTTCAAACGCATAGTGTTTTAAATCCAAACACGTAGTGTTTTGTCTATTTAAAAAGTTTAAAACTAAAATATCTTTAAGTATTTAAAAAATAGAGTCAAGAATAAAACATTTTAATATCTTAAAATTAAACACTTCTTTTTTCAGTGTTGGACTACATTATACTGTTTATACTTTAATTGTGGAAAAGAATTAAATCTGTATATAAAGGCAGTTAGAAAAAAATTTATTTGAAAAATGATTAGTAAAACACAAACGACTTTAAGATTCTTAACGTCGGAGAATTTTAAAAGCCGGGAAATCCATAGAGTGGAGACGCGAAGAGCCATATTACAATGAAAAAAGAATCTGGTTGTATTAATTGGAATTCTGATTGAAAATGGATTCGATTTTTCTGATTAAATCTATTATAATTAGAGGTCCTCTAATAAAAGCTTGAATATAAGAGAGTCACTTTTGAGTCGGCCATGTTTTAACAATTCCTGAGAAAGAGAAAGAGAGAAAGAAATAGATAAGGAACAGATAGAACAGAATGAGAAAGAGAAAGAAATAATAAATTGTGTATATCTTCTCTCTCACAGATTTTTTTTGAAACTACTACCCTTACATATGAAATTGTGGTTCGTGTCCAGACTTTTATTGGAGGATCTCTAATTATACTTCTAATTGAAATAACTATATAATTCTGATATGATTAAAATCTTCTGATTCGTTCATTTTCAACTAGAAATTTTTCTGGTGTAAAAGTACTAAATATCTTTGTGAACTTTTGCAGAAAATTTTTCAAGCTTCGTGTTAGAGAAAGCTTTCGAAGAGATATTTCCTGATTCTCAGGAACTATCGTAGCAAAATCTTTCTTCAAGGCTTCCCGTTTAAATTTATCGAGGTCGCGAACGCTTTAAAAAACGGGACTATGATGTCCCTCCTGATGCACTCCTACCTTGATACTCGATATTTGCTGTTAACATCTTGTTTTTTCTCTTGAAGAAACAAATCGAATACGCTTCATTAAATGCTTCTCCTCGCGGAATTGCAACGATCTATTTTTAATGCATTTTCCTTGCGATCTCATACGCGTTTCACATTTTATTCATAACTTGGAACGTATTTATATCTCCTAGTCATAAATACGAAAATTACGTTCTCATGTTTCTTCCTTTCCACTGAGTATCCTCGTATAATTTAATTGTAAAACACTTTTATGCCACAAAATCACCTGAGGCAATACATTTTCCAAACAGTTGCAAGTTATATTGTTATTCTTATATATGTTTAACATTTTTAAAGAAAATTGGCAATAAATGTTCGTCCATATTATCGTTAATCAAATCTAATCTTGTTGAAAAGCTTCGAAGAATGCTTGTTTACTATTTCAACAGCAATTATATAATATTTTATTTAACTTAAAAAACAAATCTTTAAAAACTGAATAATAAATAAAATTTCTTTCTTTTCTGATTCGATTGCACAGACCTAGTTTAACACCCGAAAACCTCGGATTCTCGCTGACGCGTCCCTGCTGGACGGCCACCGGTGCCTACCGCGGTTATTTTTGCCTACAAAATTCCTCCGAATATATCTACATCGTCCGCAAAATCTCTACTTCTTCCCCCTCCTACACCAGCTAGTCTTTGGAGCCCATTCCTCGTGGGTCGTATTGAATTACATTAAAGTTTGTATGCCGCGATAAAAGAACGACCTGCCATCGATGTCGATCTAACAATAGCATGTATCAACCGGTGCTGTCGTTCAATGCCGAGGTTGTTGACGAATTCCTCGCAATGTTTTCTTGCTAATAATAAGAATCACGTAAATTATCACGTAAGTTTTGAAATAAATACCGAAGGATTGGTCTTATCTCTCGTCGAGATAAACTTTAATATTCAATTCTAATCGATATCGAATTCTTTACAAATTAAAAAAAGATGAACAATAATAGCAAATTTAATTGGACACACTCAGTATGCACTCAGTGCATATTAAAACCGTCGTACACAAATTGATCGACGTAAAGGTATTTAATATAAATACAAAATCAAGGTTGAACCATTTTTCTAATTTTAAAATTAGAGAAAAATGAAGAATTAATTGAATCGAGATTAATATTAAATCATATTGATAGAGAGAGAGGGGGGAGGGAGGAGAGAGAGAGAGAGAGAGAGAGGGAAGGGAATGGCTATGAAAAATATATCTCTAGTTGGAATTCTGATTGAAAATGGGCGAATTAGAATTTTCTAGTTGAATCTATTAAATTTTAGTTGAGATAATCGGAATTCTGATTGATATAATCTTTTGATTCGTCCATTTTCAATCAGATCTTTTTCTTAATATGGAATCTGCAGCCTTAAAGATTTAAAATGTTGGGGTTGTCAAAGGATTTAACGGCGCAAGTTGGACGGATGCTCGAAGCGAAGTTTTCTTTCGAAAATCCGTGAAAATGCAAGGGGAACTGCTTTCCTCTGCCGGAATCCACGGGGACCGGCCGGTTTCCTTTACATAACTCGCATCTATTCCAAGCTGCGGCATTTGGACGACGGCGTTTGCTCGGCCGCGTCGAAACTGGTCGAAATCCACTTCGACTACTTTACGCGTACACCGTGCCAGATTCCATCGAGAAAAAATCCTATAATATTAATACGCAATATAATAATAATACAGATTCCTCGAGATTCTCGATCGTTTATCATGGAAGAGCGAGCATAGAATCAATGAGCGCCGATATTTGATCGCTGATACGACAATGCCGTATGATTTCTCAGAGATGCAATTAAAGGGCTTGCTGTAACAAAGTAAATGATATAATATTACATAAGACACATAAGATAGACTGAAAGTGACTAAAATGGTCAATTGGATTATAGTGAAGAAAAAAACTTGGTGTGCCCGAATCGCATTAAAACGCCATATTTTAGGATCAATTTTTATAATACAAAAATTATTTGCAATTACGGATTATATAATAAAAAGGATATTACATACAATATCTCCTACAGATATACACAATACATGAAAGAACAAGGAAAAAGTGTTAATAATTGTTTAGTATTCTTATAAATTTGTTACATATAATGTTTCCATATCTAAATATTATAAATATTATGTTAAATATTATTTCTCCATATAAATTTATATCACATCTATTATTTGTGAGTATATTTTCATATTCTACAAATTATGTCACTATATACAGGGTGTTTCCAAATTAAATGGCAAAACTTCGGGAGCGTGTAGAGGAGTAAAAAACTAAGAAAAAAAGTCCTATAGACATATGCTCCTTTTTGCTTTGTTTCGCAGGAAATCACGAAAAAAGAAA